GTTGACAGGGCTTCCAGGTGCATTGGTCTTCACAAACATCCCAATCATTTTCCGTCCCGTTCCACTCTCACTCCCATATTTACGCAAACTAAAAGCCTTTCCACTTATTCCAGCGAAGAGTCTTTCCAAAGCTCAAAGCCATCTCATTCCCTTTGTAAATGGAAGAAAAATGCAATGAGAGCAAGCCTGTCATTTGGTGAATCCCCATTTCATCTTATCGTTACTCAGGTGAGCTCAAAGGGCTGAAGCGTCCACTGCTTCGGATGCATCGCCTTCCCCGAAAGGAAAGAATGCCTATTCATCATCCAAGATCCGATGTGTGGATGGTGAGCACTACGAATAACCCAAAGGCATTAGCTCTCGTCAGATTAGCAACGCGTCTCGAGGAGAAATCACTTAAATATTATAATCAATGACGCAGCGACAAAAGGGATCGGTGTTAGCAGAAATATCTGCTGTGCTGCTGAAGCCAGTCTTCTTTAAACTGCACTAGTGGAATGCTTTACGCAATGCGATACAGCGTCCGATACATGCGTTGCAACTCTCAAGCGATTACAGAACGTACTGCCCTACTTGCTCACAAATGGAGTGGCAAGTCGGTTACAGATGTGAAAGACGCCCAGTATAAAGCATCGGTGCATAGCAAGGAGAGCAGTGGTGTCGTTAGAACTGCATTAGGCAGCAGGCAGTAGTGAACAAATATGATTTGAGAGGAGCACAAGGAACCCTCCAAGTGCACCTTCTTGGTGTAATTGAAAAACGAAGTCATTGCAGGATGACTTCTGCAGTTGTCCAATTGCTTGCCAAATTGTGAGCACACAATGAATGGTTCACCTCTTCTAGGTCGCATTCGGCGGCCTAGTTGCAGTGCATCCCCTATTATAGCGCCATCCCACACCGTCACACTCACCCCAAACACACCGATTAGCGTGACATTTTTGACAAGAAGAGATATCATCATGGTTCTCTCGTGCGAACTTTCACTAACCAAATGAAGGACAAAACTAGCAATATTCAGTCCTCCACAAGCATAGCGAACCTAGCCACCGTTGTCTTCCACTTCGCAGATGGACCAGCTCCTTCCAAAGCCTACGCAGCATAATTTACCAAGTGTTTGGGTTTGGAAACACCAACTCTCGAGGCGTTTCATCGACAGCACCGTCAATGTTGAGCACAAGACTACTAACCTCTGAACTTGTCGCATTAAGGGAATGGAACCGCCTACGCATAAGGTATGGGAGAGGAAAATGCCAAATTGTAGAGGATGCAGAGAGGAGCATCGTTCCATTCATCTCCTGTTTTGCGAAAGTGAAAGCACTGCATGACTTGCCATCGCATTTTACGTGAGCTCGATAGTTACATGCGGAGTGAGGGTCAGGGCTGCGAAGAGGTGATGACACGGTTCACAGTGTTGGGCGACATGCGCCTTCGACGCCCAAACAGTTGTCCCATTTTACTCCCTCATTGCTCCGTT